TGCACTTCCAGTCTGGGCGACAGAGTGAGACTCCAACTCAAAAAAAAAAAAAAAAAAGAGATGAAGGAGAGAGCACATAGATATGTAGGAATTTTGATCCTCAAAAAGAAAGCCAAGTCCAGGCGCAGAGGCTCAAGCCTGTAATCCCAGCACTTTGGGAGGCCGAGGCAAGAGGACTGCCTGAACTCAGGGGTTCAAGACCAACCTGGGCAACTTGGTGAGACCTTGTCTCTACAATAAATCAAAAATAAGCTGGGCATGGTAGCACACTCCTGTAGTTCCAGCTACTTGGAAGGCTGAGGCAAAGGATCACCTGAGCCCAGCAGGTCAAGTCTGTGGTGGCGGTGAGTGTACCAGTGCACTCCAGCCTGGGCAGCAGAATGAGACTCAAAAAGAAAAAAGGAAAACTGGCTGGGTGTGGTGGCGTGTTTGTAGTCCCAGCTGCTTGGGAGGCTGAGGCAGGAGGACTGCCTGAGCCCAGTTCAAGGCTGCGGTGAACTGTGATGACACCACTGCACTCCAGCCTGGGCAACAGAGTGAGACCCTGTCTTGATAATAATAATAATAACAATAATAAATGCCTTGGCACATTGCTCTGCTCACAGCCCATTGGTAAGAACTCATGGCCAGGCAAGGTGGCTCATGCCTGTCATCCCAGCACTTTGGGAGACAGAGGCAAGAGGATTACCTGAGCTCAAGGGTTCGAGACCAACCTGAGCAACATGGCGAGACCTCATCTCTACAATAAATCAAAAAGCAGCTGGGCATGGTGGCACATGCCTGTGGTTCCACCTACTTGGAAGGCTGAGGCAGAAGGGTTGCCTGAGCCTAGCAGGTCGAGGCTGCGGTGGCCATGAGCGTAGCACTGCACTCCAGCCTGGACGGCAGAGTGAGACTCCAACCCAAAAAATAAAAATAAAAGAACTCCTCACATGGCCCCAGGTAGGAGGACGAGGAAACTGTCAGACCCCTAACGACCACCATCACTGTGGTGAGGGACCAGGAATTGGCTCAATTGCACATCCATGGCAAAGGGGACTTGGGAGAAGGGAAAATCTCCCATCAGGGTTGCCCTGGGGTGTCCTCACCTTGGACAGACAGGCCACTGTAGTCATACCCCACGGCTGCAGGCACTTAGCTTTCATCGTCGAGCAAACGGGGGACCATACTGTGGCTGTCCTCCCAGGCAGCAGGAGTCACCCAAGTCATGCAGTCAGTCAGCAAGCAGGAGCCATATGGGAACCGGGTTTTCCAGGCCCCGTGGATACAGAGTCTTCACACGGCCGCTTCACAGCCCGGCCCACATGGTGGTTCCGCCTGCGTGCTGCCAGCCCACAGGATTCTGTGGGAGCCGAATTGTTGTGGGCCCGGGAACCGTGGCGCCTGGGCAGGCGCTCAGGGTGTGTTGCGTCGCGTTGCAGGAGGGGCTGACAAGCAGCAGATGGACGCTGAGCTGCGGAAGGAGATGATGGCCATCTGGCCCAACCTGTCCCAGAAGACGCTGGACCTGCTGGTGACGCCACACAAGTGTAAGAGGCGGGTGAAGGAGAGAGGAGGCTGGGAGGGCACACCAGGATGGGGCCACGGGCCACGGGGAGGTCCCCGCCCACCAGAGCCACCCTGTGCCCCCAGCCACCGACCTGACCGTGGGGAAGATCTATGCGGCCATGATGATCATGGAATACTACCGGCAGAGCAAGGCCAAGAAGCTGCAGGCCATGCGCGAGGAGCAGGTGCGTTGGTGGAGCTGGGGACACCCAGCAGGGGGACTGGCTGGCTTGTCACCATAGGAACCGGCCAGAATGGGGGGACTGAAAAGTAGGGGCCGGGCACCATGGCTCAAGCCTGTAATTCCAGTACTTTGGGAGGCTGAGGCGGAAGGACTGCTTGAGGCCAGGAGCTCAAGACCAGTTTGGGCAACATAGCGACACCTCGTCTCTAAAAAAAAAATTTTAATTAGCCAGGGATGGTGGTGCACACCTGTGGTCCCAGCTACTCAGGAAGGCTGAGGTGGGAGGATTGCTTGAGACCAGGAGTTCGAGGTTGAGAGAGAGAGATACTATGGCCGTGCCAAGGACATATAGCTCAAATTTATTCAGATGCCTCACCAACACTTACTGAGCGCCTACTGTGTGCCAGGCACTGTTCTTGGCCCTGGGGTGTAACCATGAGTAAAATAGAGCAGAATCCCTGCCCCCTGCAATGAGATGGGTCGAGCAGCCTGGCAGCAAAGAGAACGCATGTGGGAGAAGGTGGAACAGAATGTTGGAAATAGGGAGTAGGGTGGGGGCAGTGTGAAACAGGAGTTCAGAGGGGGCCTCCCCGGAGGTGACATCCGACAAAGTCTCAGGAAAAGGCGGGAGGGAGGAAGCCACATAGACATCCAGGGAAGGGCATTCCAGGCGCAGGGAACAGTCAGTGCAAAGGCTCTGAGGCTGGACTGTGCCGGGGTGTTTGGGGAACCGAGAAGAGGCCAATGTCGAGGAACAGAGTGAGTGAGGAGCCAAGGACAGGGAGTTGACAGGGCAGATCCCTCGGGGTGGTAGGGGCTGTGGCCTTGGGTGAGGAGGGGGGAGTGAGGACCCTGAGTGAGGAGGGAGCTGGGTCGGGCTCTGGGTGGAGGGATGAGACCCGGCTCGGTGCACACGGCGCCCTCTGGGGGCTGCAAGTGGGAGAACGGACGGGGCATCCAGGGCTGGAGCTGGGAGACCCAGAGGAGACCCAGTGGGAGATGGGGAGCCCGGCCAGGTCAGGTCACCCGTGTGTGTGCTTGGAAGGAAGAGCCCGGCGGGATCAGACCTGAGTGTGAGGTGGTGCGGTGTCCACGTGGGTGCCCCCGCCCGCCCTGGTGCACACACGCTGCTTCCTGCGCCCCTAGGACCGGACGCCACTCATGTTCCAGCGCATGGAGCCCCCGTCCCCAACGCAGGAAGGGGGGCCGGGCCAGAACACCCTCCCCTCCACCCAGCTGGACCCTGGAGGAGGCCTGTGAGTGTCGCTCCTGCCAGGGAGGGGGCCGTGGGGCAAGGGCCCGGGTTCCTGACACCCGAGTGCCCACCGCCACCTGGCCTCTGTCCTCCGCCAGGATGTCCCACGAAGGCGGCCTCAAGGAGAGCCCGTCCTGGGTGACGCAGCGGGCCCAGGAGATGTTCCAGAAGACGGGCACGTGGAGCCCAGAGCGGGGCCCCCCCACTGACATGCCCAACAGCCAGCCCAACTCGCAGGTGCCTCCGTCCCCCGCCCCAGGGAGGGTCTCCCCCACCCCCAGCTCCCACCCTCTGTCCACACCAGGCCACCCCTGGGTCCACGCAGGCCCCGGGCTCACCCTGCCTCACCTCTGCCCCGCAGTCCGTGGAGATGCGAGAGATGGGCCGAGATGGCTACTCCGACAGTGAGCACTACCTCCCCATGGAAGGCCAGGCCCGGGCCGCCTCCATGCCCCGCCTCCCCGCGGAGAACCAGGTGAGGGCTTTCACCCTCCACAGGTCTCGCCCCCTCCTGGCCACACCTGGAGCACCCACGGCCCTCCTTCCGTGGGGGACCGAGAGGGAAGGACTGCTGGGGCAGGGGCGGTGGGCCCCGCCACGGGTCTCCTGAGGAGGGAAGATGTGGAGGAATGTGGGGGGGATGGGTTAGACCTAGGTGAGTGCTGCTGTCAAGACTGCTCTGCACACACACACACACACACACACACACACAAACATGCACACCCACGTGTGCCTGTCATACATGTGCACACATGCATGGGCACACAGGCACATACGCTGTGTACGCATACACACACATGCACACACCCATGCACACGATGGCCTGCCCTCAGGTTCTTGGCAATCCTAGGACTCGTCAGAGTCTAGGGTGGGTCTGGGGGTCGTATTTCCTGTCTGGTCTCTGTGGGGTAGCTGGGCTGGGGCAGGGGCGTGCACCTGGTGTGTGTCTGCGTGTGGCTGCTTTACCCAGCTGCCAGGCCACTGGGAGGTGGGGGGTGATCCAGGCTCAGGGGGACAGAGGAGCCGGAAGCCGAGGCATGGCTGGCTGCCACTCCAGGGCCATGAGACCAGGCGGGCCTGGCCGGCGGCATGTCTGGCTGCTCAGGCTTGATGGCTGTGCCTGGCATCTGCGCGGCGGGAGTCTGCTGTGAACTGGGGTGGGGGTGCCCCGCGTGCATGCGGCTGTCCGTTCCCATCCTGCGGGGGCCCCCAGGACCGAGCTGCTGGGCCCCAGGAGAGGGTGGGAACAAGCCCAGCCGACGGCCACCGAGCCGGAAGCTTTGAGCCTTTGCGTGTCAGCTTGGGGAGCTGGGTGCATCGCATGAGGACGGCCACGCTGTCCCACCTGCCAGTCCCCTGCCTTTGCCATCTGTCTGTGTCTCCTGTCTGTCTCCTCTGTGCCCGTGGGAGGACGGCTGGCCAGCCCCTGGGGCAGCCACCCGCAGGGACTCGAGCTTCTCTCTCCCGCCTCCTTCCCATCCTTCCCATCCCTCCGTCACGCACCACCACCTCCCTCTCCCTCCCGCCTTTTATATTTATTTTCTTCTTTCTGTTTTTTCTGTGTGCACCATCCCGTGGGGCTGTGACAGAGGAGAAGGGGCCGGCCACGTGGGAATAACCTCAGTGTATGTACCGCCCAGCGGGCTCTGGCCCCTCCTCCTTCCCACACCCCTCGTGGGAGTCCCGTCATCTCTCACCATCCCGGACCCCACCCTTTCTTTGCAGACTGCAACCCTCCCCCCATGGAGCCCCATCCTTGTGTGTTGTGTCCTGTGTGTGCCCCAAGTGCGCCCTAGCAGGGCGGGGCCACTCCCCCTCCCCTCCCTTTCCCCACCCCCTCC